AAAAAAAAAAAAAAAAAAAAAAAAGCCTTGCATCATAAAGTTTATGTGAAGACGTTTTATTTTTGAAATATAGTACTTAATAAAATAGACATTACCACTGTTGAGTATATTTCTTTTAAGTAATAAAGGGTAAGTGGTAAAAGAATGTTTTCCAGGGCCAGGGATTTAGCTCAGCGGTTCAGTGGCCTGCCTGAAAGCACAAGGACCCAACTTCAATCTCCGGTACCAAAAAAAAAAAAAAGAATGTTTTCTTTCCAGGGAAACTATCGTGCAAAAGGAATAGATTCTTTTAAATATATCTATTCGAATGTGATATGAAAACTTTACTCATTTTTTAAATGGAACCTACTTAAAACGTGATTTTGATACTGCATCCTGTTACATGTCTCAACAACCCTTAATCAAAATTTTGATGGAATTATCAGAAAGTTCATATAAGAACTAAGTCAGTAAAAGACAATGCTATTAATCCACATCTGAGTACTCCCTTCACTTTGAACACAGATTCCATTGTTCTTGCCAAAAGCAGGTTTCTATTTGTATTTTTCGTGGCTGCCTCACTTGAACTGATTGAAAACATGGCAGTTTTCTATCGAAAGCATTTCAGTGTATCCTCATCCACCTTACCAGAGTTGGCAGTGTGTGACTTCTGGCTGTTCCCCCAAGTTAAAATGATTATCTACTGAGAGTTTCAAGGAGAAAAAATGTTAGAGGGAATTCCACTAATTCTCAAAATAGTGAACAAAGAAGAGGTAATAATTTGGACTATTTAACACTAGTAGCTATTCTGTTGTACTAGATCAAGTCACTTCTTTAAACCCTAAGGCCAAGATGTTAAGGCCAGCCCTTATCTGTGCTTGTCTGTGTTTCTAAGGCAGTCCTGTTCATTGTGTCTGCAACTACTTTAAGGACTAAGGATCTTTAGGCACTCAGACCATCACAACTCTGACAGAACAGGGCAGGAATTTAGCTCAGTCAGTGGTCCTGCTGCCTGCCTTGCAAACACAGCCTGAGTTCGATCCCCAGTAAAAAAAAAAAAAAACACAACTCTGACAGATTACACTTCACTTATAGATTTACTGATGAATTTCCTGGGATGATGGTCCTAAAACGAGTATTTTCGTAGGTATTCATTGGCTAATGGAGTCATTCCAGAAAGATTTGACTTCCAATTCATGCTTCCTGGAACTGGGTAGAGAAGAAAATTTGTATTTGTTGAGCATGTGGGAAACATTTCCTGATCTTACAGCTATGTTAACTATGTTAAAATTGGATAGCGTGCTTAATGTTACATTACTGAAAGTATTCAGTAACAAGATACATAACCACTGTACAACTTGAAATACTTGTCCAAACATCAATTACTTATTTGGTCAAAGAAACGAGGTTACTGGAGGCCTGACTCACCCATTTGATCTGGTTGCTAGATTTAATGCTCAAGAGTGAAAGGGTGAACTAGCAATGAACTTAAACGTTTAGCTAATGCAATGAATTTTTTAGTATGGTAGTTTTTGAAGATGATTAAAATTTCATAAATACCATTTTCTTTTTAAATTGTACAAACTATACAAAAGTTCAGATTCTTTCTTGTCTACTCTTACCCTTTAAAAAATTGTTTTAAAATATGCATAAAGCTTACCATGTTGTTTTGAGATAGGGTTTTCTTGTGTAGCGCAGGCTCATGCTCCTCCTGCCTGTCCCAGAGTGCAGATTATAGGTGAATGACACCACATCCTGCTTAACCACTTTTAATTGTACATACCATTCAGTGATGAGTTCATGTGCAAACATTACAGTCCATCTTCAGAACTTTGTCCCTTAATTGAAACTACCCATTTTTTGTTTTGGCAGCATTGGAGATTGAACCCAATGCCTTCATACTCAGGTTATCTTCCCCAGGCATCCTCCTTTCTTAAATTTGAGTCAGGGTCTAAATTTCTCAGGACTAGAATTTGTGATCCTGCCTTGGCCTCCCACAAGTGCAGGTCTTACTGGGAATTCCTCTATACCTGGTTTCTGCCCCTAATTTTAACATGTAATTCCCCATTCCCCCCCAGTACTTGGCAACTACACGTCTGAAATTTGTTACTCCAGCAATCCACAAGTGGAATCACAATATTCATGTTAGCATTACTTCAGGGTTCATCCATATTATAGCATGTCTGTATTTGTTCATGTTGTGGCTACATAATATTCATTGTGTCTATCCATTCATGTAATTTGAATACAGTGAATACTGGTGCCATGAACGTTAAGTATACAAGTCAGTCCTTGTCTCTACTTCATTTGGGTACATAACCCAGAAGTGGGTGCTGGATTGAACTGTGATTTAGTATTTTGATTTTAATGCCACTGTTTAATGCTGCACCATTTTGCATTCTTACTAGCAACACTGAATTTCAGTATCTATACTTTCAGGCCAACATTTGGTAAATATTTTACCATTTCTAGTGATAATCCAGTCTAATGAGAGCAGTTTTCTCTCCTGGCTTTATGTGCATTTGCCTAGTGCTTGGTGCTGTTGATTGGCCATTTGTAGGTCCTCTCCGCAGTAACTATTCAAGTCTTCTGTCCATATTTCAATCAAGTTTTTATGTTGCGTTGCAGGTATATTCTGAGTATCAATCCCTTAGCAGTTACGGTTTCCAACTTTTCTCTACCATTCATATAAATTGCCATTTCACTGTGGAGTTGTTTTTTTTAACGTTTCTTCGTACTGGGATTAAGCCAACTGAGCTCCCTCCCCTAGCTTTTTATTTGGAGACAGGGTCTTGCTATGTGTTACAGGCTGGCCTCTTAACTTTGTAGCCCAAGCCAGGCTTCAATTCATCATGATCCTCCGGCCTCACCCCACTGAGTGCTGGGATTTCAGACATGTGCCACCATGTCTAGCTTTAAATTTCTTGACACAGGGTTGTGGTACATAACCCAGATGGAGGTCCTCCTGCTTCAGAGTACTGGGATTATGGGTTTGTGCCACTACACTAACACTTGTATACTCAATGTTACAAGGAATAGGAGATCTAAGGCTTAAATATGTATACTGTATTTGCTTAGGCTTACCCTACTCCTAAAAGATCTAAGGCTTAAATGTGTAATTTGCTGTTTATCCTAATCCTACAATACCCTAAGATACCACAGAAATCAGTGCCAAGTATGTCATATCTAAGGCACTCCTGACAAGATGTTCTAGGTACTAAACATACCCAACACACCATTCCTTACATAGGCTAAGGATATCACTTTAACTGTCATGAGTACCGCAGTGTCTAACAAACCAAAAACCTGAGCAGAAGAGTAAGGACCCAACTGTATTTGTATTTCTAAATACAATGTGTAGCCAGAGCAAATCCTTTTGAGCCAGACATCTCTGAACAGAGAAGTGAAGGCACGAGCTACTGAATATTGTGTAATGCCAAGTCCTAAGGTGAGAACAAACCCAAAAGCTGCAGGAGCCACGAGAAGGCTGAGAAGGCTGGAAGAAAGGGCAGGTACTTAAGACATGAGATCAAAGAGATAATGAGTGGAGGAGTCCTTCAGGGCTTTATTGTCAGGTTTCCCTACGATGTTTAAAACTTTGGAGTTTTTTAAACATACAAAAATGAAGAGAAATTATCTTACAGCTATGGAAGTACATCAAATACCATGGGATACATTCAAGCAAGTTTCAAATATTTTATTTTCTTATTCATACAGTATGAAGTTTTCTAAAGATCCCACAACATGATGTATCATGCAGAAGAAAAACTAAACATTCAACATAAACCATCCCTCCCTACCCACCCCTACACACCAACTAAAAAAGGAGAGAGGAAAAAAAAAGGGAGAAACCCTCATTCCCCAGTAAGGAAATAATGTTTGCACTATTTTTCTGTAACGCCAGCCAAGATATGCACAAGCAAGAGAAATAGAAAGCATTTGCTAAAATATTTGTAACAAATAATTATGTACAAAAAATTCACAAAAGACTAGTTCCCCCTTGAAGCAGAGCACATGGCAGTTGACACTGGAACAGATCAAACCACTGGCTGGGATTGTAAGCCACGTACTGATCCAGAGGAAGAAAGTTACATGTAGTGGAGATTTTCAGTTTGAACATTAACATTTCCAAAGTTTGGCAACATTATCTTTTAAAATTATGCAAATTATGTAAACAAGAGGTACATTTTAAATCGATCTACATGCAAAACTCCATGTCATGCAAGGACACCAAGCACCGGGATTTTTCTCTCACAGACAGAGCCCATGATGTGCAGCACTCAGTTGAAGGAACAGCGATGGCAGGCAGGTGTGCTCAATATTCACCTTGATTCAACCTGCCCTTTAACCATTCATGATTACAAAACCAATTTTTATAGAAAACTATACAGGGATAGACTACTGATATGAAGCTAACCAAAATGTTTTTCTTCCAGCCAATAGTACCTTTGCAGAAAAGGGAAGGGATAACATCAAGTGGTGGAACATGATACACTACTTTTATATCACACAAATTTATTGTTATCACTTGTTACCAAATATATGGGCAAACAAAAAAAAAATCATGCACCCTCTATGCCTTGTGATAAAGAAATTTAAGTGTAAATTTGGATGAAATTTTGCTCTTCTGTGGCATATAAGATTTTTTCCCACAATCACAAATACAGGAGGGCATTTGGATATATACACACACATTAAATGTCACCAGTTTTTTAGATTAACTGCAAATCTTTTGAAACACATAAGAAAAATTTATGGGTCAAATATCAGTTGAATGAAATTATTTACCCATGTATAATGAAACAAATGGATAT